ACTCTCTCTCTCTCTCTCTCTCTCTCTCTCTCTCTCTCTCTCTCTCTCTCTCTCTCTTTCTCGATTCAAAATACGAATACGCGTATTTTTGTCGCAACGTCCACTCAACGTACTCAAAATATTGCGTATCGATTTATCAACAATTGTTCGAGAATTCGTAACCATTAATATCTCGCGGGGTAAACGGTCGACGACGAATTTGCCACGCGCCCGAGCGAAAAAACCGTTGGACGCCATTTTTCCCCCCTCCCGAATTATTTTCATCCGTCTCGAGTAGGAACAAAGAAAATCGTCGAATTATACGATACTACGGTGCAGGATCGTGGCGGTGGGCGCACGTGCACGTGGAAATATATCGAAAGTCGTTTCGAACGGACTAATCTCCATTCGATGAGAACTCGCGTTCCAACGTAATTGCTTTCGATCGGCATCACGTAGGTCGGCCGGATTTACGATGTCTTCACGTTCCGTTTAAACGTAGAACCTAGATGGCGTGCCGAGAGTCGTGACGCGGTCTCCCTCTCCCTTCCCCCTTCTCTCCTCGCCCCGATATCTCTGATGATCAGTCGTGGAAAGAGCGTAACGTTCGTGTACGGCTCGACGAAAATCTTCATTCTTCTTTTAATCGAATCGGGCGCGATCGAATCGAATATCGGAGGGAAAGGAGGGAGAGAAAGAGGGATAATTTTTCGGAAAGGAGGAATCGAAGAAGGAAACTCGAGGATGGGCGATATTCGATGGGTGATATCGAGAAGGAGGAGGAGGAGGAGGAAGAGGCGGCGGCGGACGTTTCGAGCGGTCTTAAGAATTAATAAAAAGAAGAGAATCGAACGTTATTTGTCACCGGGGACGGCGCTCGCGAGAGTGCTCGACTCGAGATAAAAATGTAATATCTTACCTGGTATCAGCGGATCGTGAAGACCCCTCATAAGTATGAAACCACTTTTCTCGCGTCTCCAGAGCACACGAGGTGCCGGCCTCCCGGTAGCTTTACACGAGAGAGTGGCGTTCTCACCCTCCAGAACGGATACCTCGCCTTCCGATGTGCCAGAGCTAAGTATATCCGGCGGAACTGTGAACAGAGAAGGGAGAGAAAGAGAGAGGAGGAAAGAAAAAGAACGGAAAAAAGAGTTATATCGAAAAATTTTTACGGACGTGAAAGGAGGAAGAAGAGAGGGATGGGTCTGGAATCCCAACCCCTCCTTGATTTGAAATCAAGTCAAAACCGCTCCCCTCCCCTCCCCTCCCCCGCTCCCTCAGAAAAATGAGATACCGTCTATCCTTTCGTGGGTAACACAGAAGGAGCATTCTCGCGATGAGATCTCCCCGTTTCTTTCGGGAGGAGAGCCACGGCCACGGAGGAGAGAGGCCATTTCAATTACACGCAATTCAGGTTGGACAAATATCGTATAGATGGAGGGAGGGGAGGGGGGGGGGAATGATTCGGGGTTGGCGAGAGAGAGAAGNAAAAAAAAAAAAAAGGGATCTTTCCTGTGTTTGCCCACAAAGGAATTTCATTCCATTCGGGCCGATCGCTCTTTCGAGTTGAATACCAGGAGGCAAGTATACGTACGCACTCTCGATGAATTCTCGTTCTCCCTTTTCCCCCTCCCTCGTTGGTGTCCACGCACACGCACGACTATACGTTCGTACACCAGACCAAGAGTCGGCCAGACACAGAGAGAGAGAGAGGAATGGGGAGGGGGGACGGTCGGGTAATGTACGGTTGGGTCGCGTGTACCACTATACAGGGGAGGAAGTCGAGGGAAGTATAGGAATCGGACGATGGTGGAACGAATAGAAGCGAGCGGGGGGGGTGAGGAACACGGGATGTATATATGGTGGGTACGGGCCACCCCGTTCCACAGGGGTCCCCATTGAAACGTATTCTAGCGGCGAGGCGCGCATATTTTCCATCCATCCCTTCTCGAGAGATAGGCTAATCGAAACCTGGGTGCGTGCGTGCGTGACGTGCGCGCATACGAGCGACCGCAAACACCCGACCGTATCTGGCCGTAGGAATGCGGTATAACGCGCAATTAGGCATACCTAGGACATCCACGCATCCCAGCTGGCTCAACATGGGCTTCGTGTTCAGCTGGCACATGTAGCATCCCCGGTCAGCTTCCCGAAGTTGGCGAATGTGAAGCCGCGAGGTGGCCTCCTCCTCGTCCCTCCACTCGCTTTGATTCTTCGACTTTGCGTTCTCCAACGTGACCAGGAATCGGGGCGAGTGGGTCACCGTTCGTTGGCCCAACGACAGTATCGTCTTATCCTCCACCCGAATCCATCCCACCTGAGGGACAGTTCGAATTCAAGTTCAAAAAAATTCCAATACGTCGATATCTATCTCTATCTCCCTCGCTATCCTAATTGCGTTAATATTAATTACAACCAACAGATTTACGCGTACGCGTGTACGTGTATTCCGAATAAACGCACACGATCTCCTATACGTGCGCGCAGTTAATTACATTGACGTTTCTATTCAAATACGTATAATGTTATTTATATACGGAACGGATGTGCGGAGGGATGGTTAAATGCGGTGACAAAGCGGGGGCAAACGGACCGATGGAAATCTAACGACGTAAACAATTTTCCAGCTAATTCGAATACCATTTACCCATCCCCCCGCTGTCTCTTTTATCATCTTTTTTCCTTCCTTCCTTTTCTCTCTCTTTTTCTTTTTTTCTTTTTTCCAGAACGAATTAATTCGCATCTCCATAAAGGTAAGGAAGGACGATGAGCGATAGACGATCGACTCGAGTCGATATCGGAGGACGCGTGTTTACGTGCGGCGAGCCGATATATCGAAGACCGATAGGTGTTGGCACGTATGGCCGGTGGCGGTAATTGGTTTTAGGGAGGAATCAAACCCCGGCGAAAGGTTCAATTTAACGTCGTCGGTATCGCTCGCCCCTTCGCCTTTCTCCCCTCCCCCTTTCCCGCATCTCCTACGCGTTATCTATAACGCCGCACTTGGTAATTAATCCGAGGCGACTGTCGTGGCGGCGCGCACATCCCGTATTGCCTAGGTATGCGCCCGTATGCGTCGGGTTACACGATGTCACGCGACACCGACCGCATTCGTACGCGCGCGCCCCCCTTCTCTTGCCTCGAGAAACCGGCAAACCTCCAACGTTGCCACTCGGTGAATCGGTTAACGCGTTCGCCGTTCTCAAGGCGTGCGCAGATATTCCGCGAAATTCCCCTTGTTCTCTCTCTCTATCTATCTATCTATACACACAGTTCGTCTATCGTCTATGTATCTAACTATACCTACGATCGATCCTTCCTCCCCCCCCCTCGAACCGAGATAACAACGAGAGAGACTCCCCCCTCAACCTCTCGATCGAATTAGTTATCTCCAGTCTCGTCTTTGAATCCACGCGAATCGTCGTCGCTTCATCGTCCCGACTCTCACACCTTCTCTCCCTTCCCCCTCTCCTATTTGGATTACCAGTCCAATTATTAGGCGTGTAAATAAGTTCTTTCAGTTCCTTTTTTTTCCCCCCCAAATTCAAGATTTTATTACGTAAATCAGATGCGCGAGATTGTCAAGATAGATCTTTTTGCCAATTCTTCTCGTATCTGGTCGAATTTTCGTCGACCGATTCGATCGTCGTCTTTAAAATTTTCGGCTTTGAATCTTTGGTACGACTTTTTCCACGCTTCTCGCACGCTGTATCGTTCGAAATCGACTCGCACATGACTGGAAACTATTAGAGCGCTCCTCACGACTCTTCTTAAAAACAAAAGAACGCTGTTTCAGATGGCGCCACGAACGTACAAGCGATTCGAATTCGAAGTCAGAAGTTACGACCGTAGAAAAAAAGGGGAAGGGGAACTTGTTTGCACGCCTAATAAAGTAACCCGGCCAGAGTATCCCTGCTCGGGAAAAATATTCGAAAAGAATTCCTTTCCCTTCCTTCGTAATTATCGCGATTTAATGTCGATGTTTCGCCTATATCTCGTCTAATAGCCAGGCGATAATCGGAAATAGAGATCGGCGTTGCTGATACGGGTACTGCTGGTAGTAGGTAGACGTAGACGAGTTGGGTTAGTAGCCCGTATGCGTTTCCGTCTTACCACACCACGGAAGATAAACGGATGAGATTTCTTTGGAAGATTCCGCGGCTCTGACGATTCGACGGGTGACACACATTATCCACGGAGTTAGGAAATTCCCCGGGTGGGAATAACGCTCGACGACGGATAAGTCGTACTACGGCCTTTCGCCGTAGTACCCTCCCCCCTCCTTCCTCCTCCTCCCCCCTCCCCCTTCGGTGTAATATTTCGAGCAGACCCTGGGCCACGAATCTACGTTAGCGCTAAGAGATTGCTCCCCATACCCTTTTCCTAGGCCAGCCTGCTCCATCCCTTTTCCTCTTCCGTTCCATTGTAATCATGGAAACAATCATTCTTCTCTCTCTCT